GCCTCTTCATCACTGCATCGATTGCTCTTGCTTGCCTTTTGGTAAGCATATCATGTGCTTCCATCTCATAATCTTCAAGGGACTTCTGGTCATTGGCCTTTTCTTCAGCAATCTCCTCAGGAGTACCCTCTGTCTCATGCTCAGCAGAAGGTGCAGGAAGAGGTAGAGGTTCTTTTGATTCAACAGGCAACACTTTCCTGTTAAGCAAATCTATGGTTGATGGATTGGACTCAGGCGATTCAAGAGATTGATGTGAAGAAGACCTTGCCAATTGCAATCCATTTTGGTCATTGTTCACTTGCTGACTCTTCAAAGCATCTAAGGCTTTTGCCTGGTCCATGAGCATACTCATAAGCTTGCAGCCAATGCCCATGAAGTGATCCACACCCCCTGCCATAGTGCTTGAAGATGAAGCCTGCTGAGGTGTTGGCGCATTCTTGAGGTCTTTGGAGTTCACCCTGATCTGAACCTGTTTGACAATGGTGCCCACATTTGCCACAATGTCAGGTGGTGATCTCAAAGGCCAATTGTCAGGCTCATAGCAAGCCTCCAAGAATGCCTGCACAGGATTTGAAAACACACATAAAAATACTATCAAACATAAACACAGCTGTTTTAAGGCAGTGTGACCTTCACCAAAGCACAGTCACAACAATGTGATAAAACAATGATTCAACAAAGTTACACTGTCACAAATGCACATGCACCAAAACTTGTAACCAAAGTGCCTCTCCAATGTCAAAAGGACTTGGAGGATATTTGGCCATACCACCATGCAATGGTTGAACACCACAGGCAATGAAGGTGTCATGAACAAACTGGGATAGTTTGTACATCTCAGCAGCTGGAGGAAGGGTCTTGGTGGAATTCATTTGGAGGCAGACAAGAAAGGCTGTCATGTGCTTCTTTGTATCTTCCTTCAAGCTTCTCAGCCCACACTTCTTCATCCTTTTGATCAAAATGGAAGCAGCATCGATGGTATTGCACCCATCAAGAATTTGTTGCCATTCATTCTTGGCAAGGTAGTTAAAAGACATTGTCATACTTTGAGGTGTCGTCTGCAGCCTTGTTGGCCCCTGAATTGAAGCTGCAGTTTTTTCCTCCAAGCATGTCACCAATTCACTCTTGATATCCTCAGGTAAGGCGCTCTTTTGCAAGGTGCTGGTCAGTGTGACAAAACTTGATGGTGAAAGCATTTGAGCAGCATCAACCTTGCATTTCAAAGCATCTTTCATCTTTGGTAGAAGTTCACTACCTCTGTTCATCTTGGAGATAAGCTCCATGTCTGTGATTTCTTTCACAAGGTCTTCAACACTCCAAGAAGCCATGGTTCTCTACAGATCCAAGGTCTAAAATGGCCTCAAATACCCCTTTGGGCCTAAAGCTTACAAGCAACATCAACTAGATTGGACCACTGTGTTGATGCCAAGGTATTGAAATTTCAAAGACAACATATTTAGCAGAATGTACATTGAAACATCAAAAGTGAAAGCCCCACAGGCTGCTGCAACATGTGAAAACCAAAGCACATTCAATTGCTTTTATTGTAATGTAAAGCAAAGTACTTGATGAACTACATGTTTTTTCATCACACCTTTTTTGTCTCTGTTGGAGTCGAAAGTGCTCAGGTCAGAGCTTGCTGCAAGGAGTAAACATGCCACTGGGTGAGATGACTTTCCTGTGTTTGAAAGCACCAAACATCTGCATGCCTTGCACCACAAGGTAAGATTGAAACAGCTTACCCAGCACAGGATCTGCAGCCACCATCCTTGGATTGCAAAAGATCTGCATACAAAAGAATAGCCAAAAGACTATGCACCACCAACACATAAAATTAAACTTATGCAGCTAAAAGCTGAGTGTCGAAACAAAGTGTTCTGCCTCCTCAGGGGTGCAATCAAAGACCAAACAGTTCTAAACACTTAGCAAAATAGACACATACACTATTCTGTAACATTCAACTGAAATGTGTGTTTGCACACATGCAATCCTTCTGTAGGAGCTCCATATATGCCCAATGTGGTTTGCGCACTGAGTCATAGACAAATTCATTGTCCACCCACACACTGAGACACTCAGCATCATCATGTGAATGTGCCAGATCCACTTTCATCTCCAAATGCTGGAAGAGCATGACAAACTTTTCCTCCATCTCCACACATTTACAATTCCAGTACAGTGCTGATGCTTGAGATACAAAAAGCTTTGGTGTTAATTCAAATACCATGACACAACATTCAGTTGATTGAGGTACCTCCTCAGTATAACTGCCTATGAAAATAAAGAACACAAAAGCACCTTTGCGCTGATTATTTAAAGAAATGAAAGCACCAAGTGCTGTTAAGAATGAAATGTAATGAAAGCATCAAGTGCTGATTTTACAAAATGTTAAGACTAGAATATTGTATTTTTACTGATCTACAATAAACACAACATAGTTTACATTATATTTATATAGAAAGCTAATTATTTTTAAATTTGCCATGACAAATTGAAATGCAAACTTTTTGGATTTCAATTTGCCATGACAAATTGAAATCCAAAATGTTTGCATTTCAATTTGTCATGGCAAATTGAAATATGACATGTCTTGATTTCAATTTGTCATGACAAATTGAACAACACCAAGTCTATCTAATTGATTAAAGGTTTGATATGCGCAAAACCAATTTCTGAAAGATATATTTGCATATACAACAATGATCGACACTGCAAATGGCTTACTGTAGATATCAACCAACAAGTCTTTTTGACTCCTGCAAACTACTTTGTCAACTCAATACTTAGTGGTGAGTCCATACTCACCATCTAAGTTTTTTGGCCACCCATGTTCTTTCACATGAGCAAGTAAGCTGTTAGTCCAATCCTGCATCAAAGGAATGCATTCCCATCTTTGCAAAAGGCGCCTCATCCTGTGAACCTCTCCAAGCCTCCAGGCAACAATGAGGCCACCCATCTTTCTGAACCATCCTCCACCATTAGAAGGAGGTACCCACTCTGTAGGGCCCTGCAAACAAAACTGAACAATTGGACATTACATATGGACATACCAAAAACTTGGTGTCACAGCTTCAATCCATCTTTAACATAAACATACATTATCATTTTGAAGCTTGTTCCGGAGAAGGCACCTTGCTTGGAGTGCCATATAGAAACTTCTTCATCTCACTGGGGTTGCAAACTAGCTTCACTGGAGTAGTTCCACTTAAGTCTTGTTGGGCAGCCAATGGCAGCCCAGGAGCAAACTTAGAGCTTGAAGATGATGTAGCACACAAAAACCCACCAGATGAAGAGACCTGAGCTGTAGTAGGTGCAAGAGGCACTGTATAGCCTGGAGGGTGCAAAGGCATAGGGGGTGCAGCCTTAGCTTTTGCACCTGGGATTTGTGGTGAAGGAGGAGACTGCTTTGCTGTTGCTGATGATGGTCTGGGTGCATCATCATCATCTTCTTCTGAAGGGCAAAGGTTGTTCTCATCCATCTTGCTTGCAAAACTGGTCAAAAAGCTCAATACATCATCAGAGATGTTCTGGGTAGTATCATCTGCACATTTGTTGTCCTTGGTTGGCAATGAGTCTTAGATGTACACCAAAATGATTAGAGCAATACATCAAAAATACAATAGATAACAATGCCACATACAAGCCAAAGGTCATTGGCTATCACCTGGTCAGCTTCTCCAGGCTGGGGTAGCTTGATTCTTTTCCTCTGAGCCCTCCATGGGGCTTCTTCAGCACCAGCTCTCTTCATGGCAGCAAAATAAAGTGTGAAAAGAACAAATAAGTGTAAACCATACCTGATGTAGATACATGTGAAGCTCTTGGCTGAGTCACATCAAAGACTGTTAGTTCTATTGCAACCAAACTGTGTTTGATTAACTGTTTTTGATTGTGTTTTTGTGTCTCATCACCATTGTTTTGAAAAACTGCTAGCTGCTACACATACACATCAAATGAGGATGCTTGTATTACACAAGAAAGTTGTCATGAACTGATTGTAAAAAATAAATCACATGAAAGCCTCATTGGCTGAATAGCAAACAAAAGCCCTCAAGGCTTGATCACCTACAACAAAAGCTTTTCAAAACAAGCAAGCAAAAGCCCTCAAGGCTTGATCACACATATAAACTGACTGGCATGACAATCTTCTTGTACCTTACATCAGCAAACAGCAAAACTACATATGCATAAAGGAGACTTTTCACCAATCTCTCTCTTGTACATACTGCACACACTGCCTAAGCAGTCTTGGCCTTCTTGGCAGGAGGGCCTTTGGCAAAGACCTCATCTGGGTCAGAACTCTTGAGCAGCAATGTTTTTGGTTCGATGGGCTCTTCATTCTCCAAAATAGGGATGTGCAATCCCCTGTACTCCACCCATGCCATTTTCAAATTGATCTCCTCATCATCACCAGAACTCCTGACCCAATAGTAGGGACACAAGGTTCCTGTCTCTTCTGGCTTTGCAAAATTGTTGAAGCTCTTGAATGGTTGTATCTGGTAAGGCTTTGTCTTGTACCATGCCACACAATGCTTTGCCTTCTCCAAGATCTTTGTTTGGTCTTTGACTGGCACAAGTGAGCAGGTGCCCATGGGGAAAAGTTTGATCTCCTTCTTCTTGACCTTCTTGAGCACAGCCAAATTGGAAGGATTGCTAACAAAAGCCAGCACACCATCACCAACTTTGTTGTTCATATAGGCCTCCATGAGCAGTGCAGTGGCCTGAACCTTGTCAACCTCCTTCTGCACCATCTCAAGGTTGTGTGGTAGCCTGTCTGTGGTGAGCTTTCCTGGGCAAAGTGCAGTGGGCTCTTTCTTTGTTGCCCTCCACTTCTTCAATGATGTCAGCTCTTCAGTAACCACCAAAGCATCAGCAAATAAGGGCACATGCTGAAAGGTTGCCTGCTTGTCATCCACAGCTTTCAGGATAAAGATTTGGTCTGGGTAGTCATGGTGTGTGTACCTGCAACAATCTGAATAGAGCAAGTGTGTTGAGCAACAGCAAAGGTGAAACCAAAAGACATCAATCTTGACAACACAAACAAATAGTGATGCTGGTTGACAACAAGGGAAAGCCAGCAGAAAGCAAGCTGGGAAACACCAACAAGTTTTGATGCACGCAAAGTACTTGTCTCCAATGCGAATGTGAGCATTTTGAAACAAGGCAACCTCTTGGCTGGAGCAATTGAGGAGGTCTTTGACAGCTGAGCCTGCAGAAGCTGACCCCCCTGCAGGTTCACTGTGTGTGGTCACCCTCACACTGCCATTCAGCTCCTGTGAGAACAGCTCAACAATCTCCTCAAAGGACTTGTAAACCTCTTGTTTGGCAACCTTTTCTTTGTTCAAGATATGCAAGACCATCCTGACAGCTGCATTCCCCCAGCAAATGTAGCCCACATCAGGTGCCACCCCTGCCCCCAATGCTTGCTTCCAAAGAGTGGAAAGCATTTCATCCAATTTTCTGGTGGTTTCCTTGCCTTTGAGCTTGTCAAAGTCACTCTTGAAAAGAAGCCTTGAGAAGCCATCAGCATGCTTTCTGGAAATGAGCATCACAGCTGCAAGGCCAATCCTTGTCAGAGCCATGGATTGTCCTGGTAGCCTGAAGTCATACATGGCCAAGTGATTCATCATTTCCTCACCCAGCATCAAGGAGTGGCCATGGTTTTTGCCTAGGATGGTGTGTGACTGGGCCACACAAGTGGTAGTAGATTTCCTCATAGAGAGAATCAGAAACACACTGGTTAGCAATGTTGTAGCAAAACTCACTCACAAACACACAAAATAGGTTGAACATTGTTATGAACATACAAGGCACAATAGGTGTCCAAACACTTCAGCAATGGAAAGGAGTCTCCACCACTGTACATCTTGCAGAAGTATGCAACATCTTCCAAATAGTGCTTGCAGGCAGGTGCACTGTGCCTCACAGCCAGGACTGCCTCATCCATTTTCATTCCTCCTCTATACAGCTCTGCTAGCTGCATCATGCACTCAAGCTCATTGCTTGCAATTTGTGTGCTATTGTGGCCATTCATAGCCATTGCTGCAAATGCAGGCAAAGTGGGCCATAGCCTCTCAGCTTCATTTGAGATGATCTTCCAAGACCATCCTTTCACCAAAAGATCCTTCAAATCTGCACTGACTGTGGGTTGGCTCCCATCTGGTCCTTTGCAGCCAGCATCAACAGCTCTGGCCCACTGCACAAAGTGGCTGTTGGCTATAGTCAGGTAGCGCTCATGACCAGAAAGTGGAGCTAAAAGCCCTTTGGAATCCTTGATCATCTTGATGTTTGCAGCAATTTGGCCTTCTCTAGCACTGTTGTCCAAGGCCAGCTCAATTGCCAAGGAGTTGGGTGGCAACAAATCAGCTTTCACACCAGCAGCAACAATGTCAGTGCCTTTTCTATGGCAGTTGAAAGGGTTGACCATTGATGAACCCCTGTTGTGGGGGTGGCACATGAAAGAGGCTGGACATGCAGTAGTACAGTGCACCAGGCCCACTGCCTCCAATGCTCCCAAAACCCTCTGCAATCGAACATTTATACCAAGAGGGCAGGCAGTGCTCAAAAGCTCATCAATTCCATGCTTCACTTCATCAGATAATGCCATGGCTGCAAAGCAGCTCAAAATGTGGAGCTCCTACAAAGGTAACAAGTTGACACCTTGTTGTTCCAATGCATGCAAACATGGGATGCAGTCTAGCCAGCTTTTTTGGTGACCCCTGACTATGCTCATTACTGCAATCTTGTTGCACACAAACCCTTCATATCCTGCCTGCAGCAAGATGATGACATAGCTATACGTTTTTGGAAAGCTGCTTTGCCATGCCAAATACTATTGCATCTTGAAAACAATGTGCAAAGTTAAAATGAAAGCCCTGACAGGCAAGCTCTGCATTCAAGAATGAAAATGAAAGCCCTTAAAGGCTGCTTGCAGCCAAGCAAAAGAAGATTGACACACATGCCTTTGAGTACAAAATGCACAAAACATCTCTGGGCCAAAACTCAGATTTTTTGGCACCAGCAGCTCAGCTTGCAGGATGCTTTTGCATCAACCATTTTTGTCCACCTTCTTCACAAATCTACCACTCTTTTGGTAGGACCTTTTGCCACCACCATCATGATGGCAATCAGGCTGCAAGAAGTCAAAGATTGCAGACAACTGATCTTCCTTGAGCATGACCAGAAGGTCTCCAGATAATGACCTCTTCCCATGGCAGAGAATGCTGACCAATGTGTTGCCAACCTCGATCTCAACCAGCTGCTCTGCCTTTGCCTTTCTGTCAGTGATGTTGCTGCCATCACCCTTTGCAGCAAGCAGCTTGCCATTCCTGATCTTCTTCAGCTCAGAGATCTTGTTTCCATTGGCAAGTGCACTCTTTCTACTAGAGCAGTTGCAGACCAATCTTGAAAGCCATGGTGCACTGCCCTGAATCTTCAAAAAGGGTTGCCCACTCAGGTCCTGCATATTTGCTGCTTTTGAAGCATGTCTTATTGCAGGTGTGTAGAATGACAAGAATAAACTTCAAAACAACCAACACCCCTTTGAGCACAGTAATGACCAAATGTCCTCCACAATGTAGGTGTCTGGGATGGTGACACGCTTGGAGCCATTAAAGCTCAACTCCACTTTGTAGGTGAGGATCACTCCTTTGAAATCATCTTCTGCATTGCAAGGGCTGCCAGAAGCATCAGACTTGTCACAGGGTGAATGTGTTTCTTCAGCCATCCTTGTCTGGACAATGATGATGTGCTTTGGGCCAAACAAATCCTAGAATTGTGCAAAATGAAAACACAAACAATGGAAGAAATGAAAGCCCTCAAGGCTAGAAACAAACAAATGCAAAAGCACCTTCTCCAATGTGCTGCTTGGGTGGTTGGACTGGACCACCTAGTATAGAAACAAGTGTTTGGTTGTCAACATTCAAGAACAATGT